AAAACAATTTTAAATATATTGTTAATTATTCATATTTCATATTATTCTTAATAATTAGTATTTTCAATAATTATTGTTATTTAATATTACATATTAATATACTGTTGTGTTTTATTTTATATTATCCATTAAAATTTTTTTGATATATTTATATATTTAATTTATATATTTGCACATTTTCATGTATAATAATTTTATAATAATTTTTCAAATATAATATTATAATATATATTTTTTTCATATTTATTATACACAAAATTCGCATTCTAATAATAAGTATATGTGTAAATGTATAAGTATATATGTATAAATTTATATAATTTTATTTAATTTTATATTTATAGATTTTCCCGGTATGTGCTTTGCCTCGACAAGATGTGCCACTATTGAACCAACAAAATCTTGGGAATTGACACCATTTTGTGGCCGTTCTACTTGCGTACCTGCTGATGACAACTCTGGTCGACTTTTCGAACTTGTCGAAGATTGTGGACCACTTCCAAAAGCCAATCCGAAATGCAAACTCTCAGATAAAACTAATAAGACCGCTGCATTCCCTAATTGCTGTCCCATTTTCGAATGCGAAGAAGGAGCAAAACTTGAATATCCAGAAATTCCAACTTTACCACCTCCCACGGAAATTGTAGAGACCGAGAGAACTTCAGAAGAAGTTCCGACAAAAGCTTAAATTCTAAAAAAGCTTTAATTCTAAAAAAACAAATCATAATCTTTACAAATTAAATTAAACAACTTATGATTAAATTGAAACAGAAATTAAAAATTTATTAATTATAATCTGAAATAATAAATTTAATTAAAAATACATATATATTCGTTTAAAAAAATACATCTTTTAAAGTAAAAAAAAAAATTACTTTTAACGAAAAATGTTGTTTCATTCATTATACGTTTTACTGAAATATATAAAATTCTTATATTTATACGATGATACAAATATAAAATTGCAAACTTACATTATATAAATAACTATATGCATACTAGTAAAATCATCATTCGGTATCCGTTCTAAAATATTGAATTTCTTCAATTTCCTAGTCCCGGAAACCGAGACTTACTAGATGCTTTTGTATGTAATTCTATTTTAAACAATAATTGTCGCGTAGCAAACTAATTTTGTTTTTTTCTCTCTTTCTCAGAAAGTAGAAATTTCTACATATATAATGTAAAGACATGTGTGACTGTAATTATATGTAATTAAATTAATATCTATTTAATTAAAAAAAATATATAACGTGTATTTTTATCCTATATTCATATAATAAATATATTATATGGTAATCTTTAATCTTTGATAAATCAATAATTTTTTTTTTACATTTATTTTAGAAAAAAAAAAAAGTTTTGCTAAATTTTTTGGAAATAATTATTTCATTATTATTAAAGTTATATTAAAAAATAATGAATCATATTCAAGTTAATTTTATATATATATATATATTTCAATTAT